TATTAATTAAAAGGAGTAAATCTAACACGTAAACCAATTATGAATCACAACAACCACCGTTCACAGTCACCCAGCACCTGCATATGAACGGAGTTCATCACTCCATCTCCAGTCCTCTCGGATGCCTTGCACTGAATATGAAACAGCATATCATTACTGGATTTTAAAAAAAATATTTAGGATGTTATTGTTTAATGCGGATTGATCGCCGTAGATAAATTACATAACTGCGTTTAAATTAAAATTTCTCGCTCGAATGTGATGTTCGTTCCATTAATTATAGTTTAAAGGATCTTAAGACTGTTGTTTACATATACACTCAATGCCAAACTAAATATATAACTGGTATACACACACATTCTGGTGGATCGCAGCTAATTAGTTGAACAATATAATCCATTTGAAAACTTCAACTTGGACGTGTGGCCACAAAGCATGGCCTAAAAGCGTGATTGGAATCAGAGAGAATAAAAGAGAAACGCCTATAATCTTTGGTTCTTTCGGTAAAGTCACGTAGGTAGAAATAAAACAAAATAAATCACGACGTTTCGATAGCAACACAAGCTGTTACCACCTGGTAACACCTGGTAACAGGTTCTCTTCACAAGGCAGCAGACATCGCGGCTATCGCGATTTTCACCTGAAGACGATGGCTTTGAAAGAACCAAATAGTATGGATTCCAGCAGTCACGAAAGCGTCAAATCAAGATAGAAACGCCTATGTTGGTGAATATACGCAGGTCAAATGACATACTTCAAACTTCAGGGACTGATGGACGATGGCCTACATTAATGACGGGAGTGGTAGTCTCTTTGTTCGGCTGACACTGATGTAGAACAACCATCATTTACACCGAGGTGGTCGAGAGCCAGATAATTGCGCCAGGAGTAGCGGCGTGTGTCGCTGTCGTGATGCCTCCTTCGCGTTGGCGAATCGGGCATTGGAGTCGTCGTGCTGCCGATCGTTGTGACCACAGTGACAAGCCAAAGAATGGGGGGGGGACGCGTCCGAGAGACGCGTTCCATCGCGTGGAGATGGAGCGATGGAACGAGCTCGTGTGCAGAGCAGGTGCCAGGGCACTCGTTTATATCGCGGTACCACGGGGGACGGGGGGCTCGGGGAGGCCTTCGCCCAGCAAGTGGATGCAGCACGACTCCAGCACGACGGCCTTCTTAGAGGCATACTCTTTGGTTCTATTGGGTAAAGTCACGTAGGTAAAAAATAAAATAACAAAAATCATTGTTATTTTATTTTTTACCTACGTGACTTTACGCAATAGAACCAAAGAGAATGGAACCTAGCGGTCACGAAAGCTTTAAATCTAGAATTCTTAGAGGCACTCCCACACACGCCTAGAAGACACCGCAGTGACGTCACCGGAGAGCTTCTCGGCGTCCAACTTTATCCATCTCCTAGACGCGACGCCTCTTGGACTCGCACCGCGAGCCCTCGCCGTGGCTCTGCGACGAGACGGGGCTGGGCTGCGTGTGTGCGTGTTCGCCTTTCCGGGGTTGGAGTAGCTTCAACCAGGGGATCCCGGGGCGAAAGAAAGCCGGCGACTCTCCCAAACATTCCAACCAATCGCGTTCCAGAACGTACATCAAAAACTTTTGGCCGCGCGTCAAGTTTACTAAAAGAAATATATATCATTGACACGTATCGCAACATATTACTTGTACATGGCCGGTTTCCCCCCTTACTCCTTGCACACAAACGTTCTAACACACAAACACACACATGGCTCCCGATCCTATTCAAACCGCGTGGGCGCCCAGCACCACTCCCCGTCGCACCGACACAACATGGGCTCTTCCCAGCGAACGTTATCCGCTCGCGGCACATGCTCATATCATGGTAACAACCAGTCAGAAGTGCCGAGTTGAGGAGAGGAAGCCCTCGCTTACCGCGGCGCGTCCGCAATGGGCCTCGGCAAGGATTTTTGAACAGAAACCCCGAGAATGGCGGGAGCATGGATATGGGAGGGATGCCGATTGCGCGTGACGTCCTCAGCGCGCGCGTCGCTCTGGCGGCCATCTTGCGCAGGGCTAAACCGCGGCCTACGGCGACCGGTACCGACACGGGGGGGGGGCGTCGCGGGCGGGTGACCAATCGGATGCCGTGGGTGCCCCTTACCAAGATGGCTGCCACGCACGTGGTCGGGTCGCTCCCTCACACTTTGAGGGTGGGGGCGGATGGGGTCTGATTGGATCCGGTAGCGCGCATAAGCGCGGAGCGAGCCGTGCGCGCGGGCTATTGGTCGCGAGTTTGGCACGCGACGGAGCGTGTAAGCGCGCCCATTGGTCAGCGGGGTTTTTTTTTAACTGACCAATCGCATGCGCGGAAACCGTTTTTTTTTTTACGACCGCTGATGTTGACTGGGAAATCGGTGGTGCGAATCGTGGCTGGTGGAGAGCGTTGCGGGACGCGGGTTGCGCGTGTCGAGCGGAGGAGTCCGCGTCGCTCATCGCAACTTGTGAGCGACTCTCGCATTTCGTCGAAGGCCGGGTCACTCGTTTGCGAGAGTGACGTGCGGTTGGCCGAGCCTAAACGACGAACGCGATGGGCAATTGTATCGATCCGCGGTTTTCGCGGCGAGATCGATTCTTACGGCCGCTTCGCGTGGTGGAATCGCGTGCCACGGAATCGACCGGGTCGTTGTTGATGAGACGACTCCAGAGTTGAGAGGTTTCCCTCGCGTGTGCGGTGACCACTTCCCTGTCCTTTATTACATTAAAGGCCACAATGTTATACAGTGGCGTGTCATTTGCATGAATTGCATTGTTTCTAAACAATAGATTTTTTATTAATCGGGGAACTATACCTCGGGCAATTATTTAAGGCGGATCAGTATCAAAGTGAAATAAAACCACATCGATAATTGCCTTAAAAGAGAAAGCAATGGCCTTTGATAGCACAACAATCAAACTAGATTCGAAGCAATTCATCCTCAATCGTTCCATGAAGAAGAGGCAATTGCCCAAAACGTCGCCTATTAGTCTATGTGTTCCCTTTTTAGGGCCACAATATCGTGGATCAACGTGTTGCCAAATTGTTAATTGTGCCCCAATGCCAACGCAGAAGCGTCACCAAATAATTTAAAATAAAAATTCTTACCGAAGTTTAGAGTCCTCTCTTTTTTTGGGGGGGGGGGAATATTTGAAATGGAAATCATCGCATTGTGCCTGAAGCAGACATTTCAATTGGCATACGTTACCAGCTAAACCATGGGTGGGCAACACGGATGCCGACTACGAGAATGTAACAATGATTCAATGGGCTAGCTCACGACTTCCCGTGAGATACAAACCACAAGAGTTTGATTCCCGGCCACGGCTAACGTCACTGGCGAGTGATATCTGTCGGGCCAGTGTTGCCAGCTCCGATAGGCGGAAAGTCGCCAAACGGACCTCAAAAGAGTCAGTAGGTGTCGCTCTATAAACCATCTAAATTCTACAGTCACGAGCCTATACTAAGGACTGTGCTGTATTACACTAACTGCTACAAATGTTTTAATGCAAACCTGTAATCGCGTCGATATCTGAGTGACGGAGTCGCTCGATCTGTCGCTAAAGTCGCTTCGAGGGAAAGACACGAGACGTATCGATCACAAACTCGCCGAGGTGGCAACATCGATCCATCCTCAACCGCTCCAGCCGGGTGACCCCTTCAACCAGCCGGGTGACCCCTTCAACCAGCCGGGTGACCCCTTCAACCAGCCGGGTGACCCCTTCAACCAGCCGGGTGACCCCTTCAACCAGCCGGGTGACCCCTTCAACCAGCCGGGTGACCCCTTCAACCAGCCGGGTGACCCCTTCAACCAGCCGGGTGACCCCTTCAACCAGCCGGGTGACCCCTTCAAGCAGTCGGGTGACCCCTTCAAGCAGCCGGGTGACCCCTTCAACCAACCGGGTGACCCCTTCAACCAGCCGGGTGACCCCTTCAACCAGCCGGGTGACCCCTTCAACCAGCCGGGTGACCCTTTCAACCAGCCGGGTGACCCCTTCAACCAGCCGGGTGACCCCTTCAACCAGCCGGGTGACCCCTTCAACCAGCCGGGTGACCCCTTCAACCAGCCGGGTGACCCCTTCAACCAGCCGGGTGACCCCTTCAACCAGCAGGCAGCAGCAGCAGCGCCGTGTCGAGTGCTGTGGTCAAACGTGCCCCGTCCGTCACCGGCGAGGTCATCGTTCAGCAGTGGATTTGACAACGGGGACTTCTGATATTTGCGCAAAAAAACGCAAACTCGCCACTTCGGGTAATGTATTGTTTAAAAACAATTGCGTCCAGCCGTGGATTTAAATAGATGTGTTTTTTTAACAAGTGCTCTTGACCTTTGACCCGGCAACGCGCTCGCCGTAGTTTGGCAGTGACGGCTCAAGATCAACAAACACCACGCCCGGGGAGGCGCAGCCTCGTCCCTGCCTCTCCTCGTCGCCGTCACCATCTCCTCGTCGCCGTCACCATCTCCTCGTCGTCACCATCTCCTCGTCGTCGTCACCATCTCCTCGTCGTTGTCCTTTGCATGGGCAGCGTCGGCGGCCCCCCGTCGTCTCCCTCCGCCCCTGACCGATGCTGCCCAGGCTGAGGCTCCTCCGCGCGCGGCCCGGCAGCGGCGGCGGCGGCGGCTTCGCGGGCAGCGCCCGGCGGGACCACCACGACCCCCCCCAGGAGCAGCAGCAGCGGCACGGCCTCGGGGCGGGGTCGCTCCTCCACCGTCGCCTCCTCAGCGTCGCCGCCACCTCGGGCGCTGCGGGAGGCCGCGGGGGCGTCGAGCCGCTGCCGGCCCGGGCGCGCGTCGTGGTGTGCGGCGCAGGCATCGTGGGCTCGTCGGTGGCGTTCCACCTCGCCGAGCTCGGCTGGACGGACGTGCTGCTGCTGGAGCAGGGCAGGTAACGACGGTCCAGCGTTGACCCCCATCTCTCCCCTCTGACCCCCGCTGCCTGTCAATGCCGCTGCTGGATGATGAAGGCCTCTCTCCTCCCCCACGCTGTGTTTCGGCTCTGGTTTCAGATGTCACTCGTCACCTGGAATCGAACCGGTCGTCCACTCCGGGGACGATACGGTCACAACTAATTGTGTGGGCAAGTTAACCGCGGTCGTCCTGGGGTGAAGTGACAGTACGGTGCTAAAGAAGTTCCTCATGCTTACGTGGTTCTGTGGTTCACGTACTTGTGCTGTGAACCTGGCAACCTGAGTTCTTGAACGGTGGCCACGGCTAACTTCAGTGGCGAGTGACATCCTGATCCACTCCCCGGCTCTCCGACCATAACCCCGCACGGACCGCCACATGTGGTTCACCAGCACAGTTAACAACAACAATAAAACGCAACACATTCGTCACTGACACGACCTTAGCTCTAACCTGGTTAAATTTAACACGAGTTTCAAACTAAAACGTGTCGTAAATCAGGGCCACATCCCACGAGTTGCTGTTTGTGTTGTTGTTGTTGGTGCTGCTGCTGCGACTTGAGCGACCAGTTTCTATATTTACAGCGGAGCGCAGCCTTCGGGCTTAACCCCACAGTGTCTCGTTACTCACCGGCGCTGCCACCTGTTCTCTAGCCTTTATTTAACCAGGAGAAGAACACTGTTGGGATTCTCTGTGGTGGAATGCGCGCAGGGGTAATTGTGGTTACGTGGCGGTACATTTTGCCTTTTGGTGATTATCAACTCGGGTTGAAAACGTTTATGCATTAATTTTGTTCATTCGATTAGCGGTGGACCTGTAACTCTGAAAAAGATTATCCAATATCGCCCAAACGCTAATAAGTATAAACTTATATTGCCATTTGGGAACGGCCCTATTGGAAACTACCCAAATTGGTCAGATGGTTACCCAAAATTTGCAGGCACAAGCTATGGCAAACGGGGCTGTTAACAAACACGGGGATGAACTACGTAACATCGCGGCGGCCCCGACTAGTGCGGCTGTGTGTGTACTGTGTACTGGGCTTCCTTAATCCATGAGTCGTTGAGAGTGAGCATGGAAGCAGTGGTGAGGTTTGGTGGCATCACTGGCGTTGGTGGTAACAGCACATTGTCATTAAGAGACGGCCTTACGGGTACAATGTATATATATTTACAATGTCACAAAAGTTGTCCCTTTTCACTGTCGTAATCGAGGGAAGGAAAACCACAGTGACAGTCCCAGAATGTGCCCCATAATACCACACGCCCTTTATGATCCATGGGTCTGGGCAGGCAGCAGTGATGAGTGTAGCAGCACAATCTACTGTAGCTATACCTTGCTCCCACATCCATACTCGCTCCGTTCACCAACCCGCACTGGCCAGACTGGGGAAGTATGGTCAAATAAGTCTCATGGCCCATATGGTGTGGGGGGGGGCGCTCATTTAACAGTAGATTGCCTAACAGGGCTGCACCTGAATCTGCACCGCTGCCGAATCAGGCCTTCGATTTCTCGTCCGCTCATCGTCATCTGCTCTCAACTCCTGCCCCTTGCCCCCCCCAGGCTGTCAGGAGGAACGACTCGTATGTGCGCTGGGATCGTCAGCAGTGTGCGGCACCTGCCTCTGGAGATTGAGGCTGCCGACTACTCCCTCAAGCTGTACCAAAGCCTGGAGAAGGACACGGGAATAAGCACAGGTAGCGGTCGGTCGGGGCGCTTCCATTTGTCGTGAGTTCCACCTCACTCACGGTGGCCAGAGTGGTCTCATCAAGCGGAGAGAGTCTGCAACAGTATGCCTGTTGTTTGCCTTGTCATCCACAGATCATTTTGATTGCCTTCGGCTCGGGGTGGCTCAGAAGTCAGAGCGCTGAGCCAACACCACTGAACGCCTAGGTTCGCATCCGGGTATCAGCCACCCGTTGTTAAACTAGGTTCCCCTAGTCTCCGACCACGCTACAACAACATTATTGCGTTAAATTCCGTTTTAGATCCATTTTCCAAGCCTTTTTTTCAGCAAATCCACCAAACAAAACAGTTAATCGGTAACAGTAGTAATTGCGAAACTCTGGGACTATGCAGTAGTTCCAAATGGCTTTCTTAATCTGACTGTGGAAGAGAGCCTTGGTGCAACCCTGATGTAGTTTTTGAAGAAGATTAAAGAGATTTTCAGATGACATAACTGTTGCCAACGTGATGGTCGCCCTGCTGCTAAACATGAACCCTTAGGATTTAAGAAGACTGGCGTTATATCGCTGGCACAGACTCAAGACCGGATCATCTCCCTACAGAGGATCGCAGCTCAGCTGAAGTAAGATCGATGTGCATTGAATTATAATGATAACTTTTTAAAAGTCTTAAACGTTCTTGTTGTCTGCTGCCACTTGCTGTTGGTGGAGACAAATGCTTTAATAATGCCCGATTGTCAATCCACTACTGAATGTTTGACCACTTGTTAAACCATGTCATGCAGGTCATTGGGGTTATTTGACCATACTTCACCTTACTGATCCGTGTGGGTTCGTGATGGTGGGGTGCATAGACATTGGAGAATGGTACAGTTAAATTAAAATATTTGACTGCAATGTCCTCCACTGACAACGTAGCCCTGCAGACACCTGTGTAATGTGTGGTGGTCAGCCATCCATAAGCACCAACCAGGCTCGAACCTTCTTAGCTTTCAAGATCTGACAAGATCGGAGGCAGTGTTACAATAATATAACTCATAATGGTATCAGCTGAAGTTGACTAAAGTGGTACATGGGCTGATGGAGCTTGTGATGTGGTGCGGTCGGTAGTGCGCGGGGCACAGAGGCCATGATGCTGACGGCACAGCAGGTGCTGGAGATGCACCCGTGGGTGAGGGCTCGCGGTGGTGATGGTGGCGGCACCGGGGATATCGTGGGCGGTCTCCTCGTGCCGGGCGACGGCACCGTCTCCCCTGGCGACGTGTGCCGTGCCCTGGCTCATGCAGCCGTTGCCCACGGTGAGGGCAGTCCTCCTCTCAACTGCCAACTTACAATGCTCTTCGGTTGTTGGGTCACTTATCCGCTGGTTCGCTTGCTCTCTTCCTCGCTCGCCTGCCCGTTCACTTCCACCCATTCCCCCCTGAACTCAATCATCTTGTCCATTCACTTGCCTGCCCACTCACTGGCTCATATATCTGCCTACTCGCCCATTCACTCGATCATCCATTCACTCACGTGGCTTTCCTCTTAGCCTCTCATCCGCCAACTTTCTCGACCTGCCAGCTCGCTTTTCCACTCGCCCTTCTATCCATTCACTCACCCTTCTATCCATTCACTCACTTGCCCTCTCAGCTGTTCACACAACCTTCTCCTCACCCAATTACCTGCTCGCCCCTCCTTCGTCTGCCTGCTCACTAGTCTGGCTGATTGCTGATTCAGCCAACCACTAATTTACCCAACCACTCATTTACCCGCTCACTCACAATGCCTCACAATGCCTCGGAAAGGAAGCGGACATGAGTTTGACACTTGTGATGTATAAAACATGTTTATGAGATCAGAATGGGTCGTTGTGCTACCCAGAGATTGGTAGTGGAATAACATTGCACCACGTTGGACATCACTGGACTCCTTCTCAGTCTGGGAAGCGAGTTCACCGCACGTCTTAATTTTGTCCACAACGTCACCACCTGCGAGCAGCAGATCTGCAGCGCCGTCGTTTCGAGTCCTCGGCCACAGCCACGTGTAACTCTGACGAACTGAGAACGGGACCCTGGCGCCTGCATTTCTGATTCTCGATTCTCTCCCCAGGGGTGCAGATTCGCGAGCGGACGGCGGTGAACCACATCCTGGTGGACAAGGGCCGCGTGACGGCCGTGGAAACGGACCACGGAGAAGTCGAGTGCGAGTTCTTCGTCAACTGCGCCGGGCAGGCGAGAGACGCGACACCGCACAGGGTCTAGACCGGGCGCACGCGACGGCCATGTTGGGAATCTCGTAGCTCCCCCCCACCGGGAGGCCGAGAGGGGCCACGTGTAAATCTAGTGAGGGTGACGTCACGATGGCGAGCGTAATATCGCGACCGTGACCAGGCTCTGCCTCGTCTGCTGGGCCGCTTGGCCGTGAGCCTCTGAGCGCTGAGTGTTGCGGTGTCGCCCTGGCCGTGCGTGCAGTGGGCGTATGAGCTGGGCCAGTGTTCCGACGAGGCGGTGTCGGTGCCGCTGCACCCGTGTGAGCACTTCTACCTGCTCACGCAGCCACTCTCCCCGCCGTTCGGAGAGAATCTACCAGGTATCCACGCCCCCCGTGCAGCCACCCGTCCACCGGAGGCTCCCGCCGTTTCATGGTCATTATCATTTCGTATTTGTTCTAGAATAAACACACCTCATGGCTTCGACATTCCTCCTCCTCAAGACATCGGTGTAACCATCACCTGCATCAGAACATCACCAGGCCGATGCACACATCTCCTTTATAACTTGAAAATTAAAGACAAGCCACGGTAATGCCATTGTGGCCAGGCAAACCCAAGCTCGATTCCTGGTCACAGTTCACATCAGTCATGATTATCTAAACCTGTCATGGGCCTCCCCTAGGTCAAGTCAATCTTACTTCGGTACCCAGAATGGTATATAAATATCAGCAGTGGGGAAACAAAAGGACTGGGCGTGTGCCGACCACACCACCCCCATGTGTGTCGTGCCAGCCTAAATAGGTGCTGCTCACTAACAGCCCTTGCCCCCAAACAGTCTGGTAAAACTAAAGGGGGGATCTTTGTCTTTGTGTGTGTGTGTGTGCAGTGATCCTGGACCTGGATGGCCGTGTGTACGTGCGAGAGTGGCAGGGCGGCGTGCTGTCAGGAGGGTACGAGAAGAACCCCAAACCCATTTTCACTGAGGGCAAGAACCAGGTGGAGTTCCAGACGATGGAGCAAGATTGGGACCACTACGGTACGCGAGCGGGACGCATGCCAGCACTTGCTCCGAGCTCCGCATCTCCCGCACTTTCATGAGAGACTCCAGTGTGGGCGCGAGGGTGGCGGTCACGGATTTTATCTGTGGACAGGAATCGAACTCAGGTCAGCTCTGCTTGTGCAATGGATAAACAACCTGGCACCTGAGCTGCGCCGGGCTGGCTTGGCACAGCCCCTGCACGGCTGTGCAGTGGAGAAGAGGTCGTGGAGGCCACACGAGGCGTGATCTTATTCGCTGTGTGTGTATGTGCGCCCCCCACGGAGCGGTGGGGCAGTCGTTAGCGCACTGTGCTGCGAATCCGGTAACCTTAGTTCGATTCCCGCTCACGGCCAACACCGGTAACGATTATCTGAACCGGTCCTGGCTCACTCCAAGGTCGGCTCAACCTCAAATTAGTACCTCGTACTATATATAAACATCACCATGAGGGACACAAAGGCGGCTGGGCATGGTGCCGGCCACCCACCCCCTCGTGTGCCGTACCGCCTTTCATAGGTGCTCGCCAACAGCACTTGACCCAATAGAGTGTTAAAGACTATACGGGGGATCTTCGTCTGTGTATTTTTGACCCTCGCAGAGCCCCTGCTGGGCGCGCTGCTGCACCGCATGCCGGGCCTGGACGGGGCGGCCGTGTCGCGCCTCGTGAACTGCCCCGAGGCGTTCACGCCGGACCTGCGCTGCATCATGGGCGAGGCGCCCAACGTCCACAACTACTTTGTCCTCGCCGGGATGAACTCGGCCGGATCGACGCTGGCCGGGGGCCTGGGCAAGTGAGTGCGCGCGTCGCGCTCGGCGCCGGCTCTCCTCCTCGCCGGGGACGGTTTCGCGACGTTTGTGTGGCCACCGCCGCCCGGCTGAACGACCGCTGCGTTGTGCGGCGCCAGGTACCTGGCGGAGTGGATGGTGACCGGGAGCCCCTCCGAGAACGTGTGGCCCCTGGACGTCCGCCGCTTCGGGGGCCTCCAGAGCAGCCGCACGTTCCTGCGCCACCGCATCATGGAGGTCGTGCGTAAGTCCCCCCCCTTTCCCACACCGCCCCCGTGGGCGCATCTCCCGTGAACCCGCTGGGTTGTCCGTGTTTACCGCTGGGTGTCCGTGTTTACCGCATGAGTCAGAGACCTGGACTCCTCTAACCAATCAGTTCAAAAATAAGTGGTTAGCTATTGAGCATCGTGTTTGAGATGGATGCAAGGGATTTCATGGCAGGACAGGGTGGCTAACGTCAGTGATGAGTGATATCTGAACTGGTCCTGGTTCACCCCCTCCCTCGCTTCACCCTTCACCAAACTGCACTGACCAGCATGGTGAAGTATGGTCAAACAACTTCCATGATTGACACAGTATGGGGAGGCCTAGATCCAATCCAGAAATAAATTGACAAAGCTCCGTACATTATTATTGTTGCCTTCAATGTGCTTTTGTGCATTATTCAAATGACATTCAGCAGATGCAGTTGGCGGTGGTGCCTATGCATGTGGCACTGTAGTCCAGCACTGTTGAGGCAGTGAGGGTTGGTGGATCACACACAGATGTTGTAAAACTCTCTTCTTGTGGGCATCCAGGAGCCATACCCTGGCTCACCAGAAGGCAGTACAGCAAAATGTGGACCTATATTATCTCCCCCTTCTCTGTGGGATAGAGTGTTGCCTCCTTGCACACGTGGGTTTACTCTAGCTACACTTATTTATAGATTCAAAACATCTTCATATGTAAATGACCATAGAGCTTGGACAAATGCTATTTAATCTCTGTCCAAGGGCACACTTGTTGACTTGGGTTCTTTCGTTCGACATTCCATGAACGGCAGCTAATATTGCCATAATTCTTTATTTGTTGTTGTAGCGGTTGTTGTCCTGTTGTTGTTTTGCAGCGCTCACGTTTGAGCGCAAGTTCCCGCACGTGGAGTTCCAGACAGGCCGGCGCCTGCGGATGTCTCCGCTGTTTGACCGCCTGGATGCGCAGGGCGCCCGCTGGGCCGAGAAGCACGGTTACGAGCGAGCCAAGTTCTTCGTGCCGCCCGGTGCGCCCTCACGAGCCCACCCCGTATGCTCCTCTCTTGTGTGGACACATCCGTGCCTCGCAGCGATGAGTGCCTGGGTTCGTTTTCCGACTCATGCGACTTTCTGATGCATAATGTACGTTGACTCAGTAATTAGAGAATCTATCGAAATTTAAAGAAATACAAATAATTTTAACTGTTTGGATAGCTACCGCCTTAGTGCTGCGTGGAAGCGAATCATCAAATAATACATTGTTTAAATGCATGCCTACAAAGGGCAGCGTACTTCAACAGGGATTACCGTTGGTACAGCTATTTTAATACACACAATAGACAGGAAGGACAAGATCAAAGGGCTCGCATAATGCACATGCATCATGTAAAGTGGACTCAGTAATCCCCCCCCTCCACTTTGCACAAGAGCGCAGAAGTGTGGTCACCACATCTACGCCTCTATACAAGGATCGAAACAGTAAGACTTGTCCACAAATCTGGCTGTCGCCTGATGAAGCTAGTTGTAATTACTAGCGATACCGCGTACTCAGATTGTAAATGTTGTGGCTTGGCTTTCCAACACACCGGTGTGCTGTACTAGTGACGAATTGTCACGTTCTGTTTACGTGACAACCCTTACTAGTTGGCTGTGTCGGCTAGTGGCGGGTTTTAATGACACTTTTATATATTTACGCGATCTAACTAAAAAAAAAACTCTTATGGATTTTGGTCTCGAAAGCCTCCAACGTTAAACTAAGTCTATAACTACTCTCGCTTTCTTTCTGCAGAATGTGCGAGTGAGTGTGTTCTTGTGGGGAGCGGTGGTGCAGTGGTTAGCGCGCTGTGCAACGAACCCGGAAACCCGAGTTCAATTCCCGCTCACGGCCAATACCAGCGATGATTACCTGAATGGGTTCCGGACCTCCCCTAGGTCGATTCAGCCTCAAATGAGCACCTGGTGCGGTGTGTAAACATTGCCACAGGGGAGACAAAGGTGGTCGGGCATGGTGCTGGCCACCGACTCCCTCGTGTGCTGTGCCTACATGGGTTTCCTCCGGGTTCACCGGCTTCCTCCCGAAGCTAAAAAACAATCGCACAACGTAACTGGCATTGGCCACAACATACCAATGTTGAAAAATTACCCACAAATTACTCAATTGGGAACACACACAGCAGTAACATTGCCTCCTGCGACAGAAACTTGGCAGGACCCTCCTGAAAAACACATCTTGAGGCTTTCCTGGTAACAAGTGTGTATATGTGTATACACTGTGTGTATATATAAGCGCATTGTCGCGTGGCTGCGGGCAGATTGGCCACACGAGGTGGACGAGAGAGGAACCTTCTTCAAGCCGAGCTGGTTCGACATCGTGCGGGCAGAGGTGGCATCGTGCAGGGAGGGCGTCAGCGTCATTGACATGACCTCCTTCACCAAGTTTGAGCTGCGGGTGAGTTTGGTTCGGTAAAGCCGCACCTCATGCACAGCCGCAAAGGGCGACGTTCTCACTTCGTTGCTTGCACAGTCGCTGTCTCCTCACTCTCTCGCTCGCACGATGGAAAATTACATTTGATGAAGACAAATAATCTAAAAATCCCAATCTGCCGACAGAAGAATGGTGCGTTCCACCTGCGGTGACTTACGGATAGGAAACACGAACCCCGACAGAGATGCTTGCTTGGAGTTGGACTGAGTAAGAGGGGCACGTGATCACGGCGTGGCCAAGTGGCCGTGGCTACGCTGCTTTACGTGGCCACCTGTAATCCAGCACTACTGGGGAGGCAGCAGCGAGGGTTGGTGGATTACACACAGACGTCAAGGAAAAGCCATACCCTGGGTGGCCCATAGAAGGCGGTATAGCAACTGTGGACTAATCTCCATCTGTTCGATCAGTATGGGATAGAGTTGTTTCACCCTCGCATGCATTTATTTTCTCCATGTGCTCCTGTTTCCTCCCACGTGTGTAAACACTCATCAGCAGTTGCGTCTTGGCGAATTGGGCAGCACCGCGTGTGACGCATTTTGCACGAATCACGCCGCTGCATAAAAACTGAATATCATCGTTGTTGTTATTCGGAATTTCACAAGGTGTTCTCGTGCGTGGTGGTGCGTGCAGTCGGCGGGCAGCGAATCTCTGGAGCTGCTGCAGTCGCTGTGCGCCAACGACCTGGACGTCCCCGTGGGCAGCATCGCGCACACGGGCATGCTGAACGAGGCCGGCGGCTACGAGAATGACTGCAGCGCTGTGCGCGTCACCAAGGGCAAGTGAGTGTCGGTTCCCCCCCGCTCGGTGCTCCTCCCCACGGAGGTGCTCGCAGAGCCGGGTACGTCATCGGATCGTTGAAGTTACCGATCACTCCCCCCCCCCCCTCGCTAAATCGCATCCATTGCACAAACCGTGGCAGTAGATGCAGATACCTGATGCATCCATGGAAAATTTAAAACTCTCTTGTGTGCGACTGTGGTAATCTAGAACAGACCGTACAACGTATAGCGACGGAACGCCCGATCCACAAATACGAAGGAGACATCACGGCGATACACTCCGCTGCTCCTGACGCAGTTATCTGGCTTGACCACCTACATGGGAGATTGTAGTTTTTGCTCGGCATCAGCCATACAAATGAGAAAGGCTCCCCCTGCTTGTCGGTTTCAGCTAAACTCGACAAATTGGGTGAAACGGAAAATCGTTTGGGGGAAACGCCGCCCGCTGAACAGGAGGGGGTAATGGGCCGGGGATTGGCAATGCCGCCATCGCCATTGGCCGCGGTGCGCTGGGCTTGACTTGTAGCGGCGAGGGAGGTGGTTTCCCGCCTTTGGGAGGCAGGAAGTAAGGGCAGCAGCCATTGCCCGAGTGATCGACCACAACAAAAGTAAACGGTGGCAAAAGTGCAGCCCTGCAGCGGCTCACTGTCGCCACTGCTGGCGGAAGGGCCTCCTCGAGTGGGAGCTCTAGAAAACTTCACCCGAGGTTATTTTGGGCGACTCTTTCACGCTGGCCAGACGTCTTGGAAGAGGACAAAAGTAGTCAATTGCAATATTTACCCGATTAATTCACTTATTGACGGAGCTCTAGATACGTGCACTGTGGGTTTTGTGCAGCATAGACAGCTCTACCTTGCAAAGAGACTTTTGTTTCCACATGTGGGCGCTGCTGCTGCTGCTCATCATGCCCTACACGTCATCTCCGTGATTCCCAGAATTCCAAATGTGTCTGCTTCTTGTATTGTCATACTGAGAGCTGCCCCCTTGATTCCCAGCATTGCGTGGGTGCTATCCCAACTGCTTCCCACTATTCTCTGTGTGCTGTCGTCCAAGGCTTCTGTGCACACTTGTGTACATGTTGGTGCATTTGTAGTCCAACTGAGTCACAGACGTTATTCTTTAGAGGCAGCACATTTATTTAACATCAATACGTTAACACAAGGGGGTAATAATAGGGGGTAACTTCCCCTTTACCAGATACAGCCTAGGTTGGTGATCACCCAGCTAACTACAGTGAGGGAAAACAGTATTTGATCCCCTGCTGATTTTATACGTTTGTCCACTGACAAAGAAATTATCAGTCTATAATTTTAATGGTAGGTTTATTTGAACAGTGAGAGACAGAATAACAACAAAATCCAGAAAAACGCATGCCAAAGATGTTATAAATTGATTTGCATTTTAATGACGGAAATAAGTATTTGACCCCCTCTCAATCAGAAAGATTTCTGGCTCCCAGGTGTCTTTTATACAGGTAACGAGCTGAGATTAGGAGCACATTCTTAAAGGGAGTGCTGCTAATCTCAGCTTGTTACCTGTATAAAAGACACCTGTTCACAGAAGCAATCAATCAATCAGATTCCAAACTCTCCACCATGGCCAAGACCAAAGAGCCCTCCAAGGATGTCAGGGACAAGATTGTAGACCTACACAAGGCTGGAATGGGCTACAAGACCATTGCCAAGCAGCTTGGTGAGAAGGTGACAACAGTTGGTGCGATTTTTCGCAAATGGAAGAAACACAAAAGAACTGTCAATCTCCCTCGGCCTGGGGCTCCATGCAAGATCTCACCTCGTGGAGTTGCAATGATCATGAGAACGGTGAGGAATCAGCCCAGAACTACACGGGAGGATCTTGTCAATGATCTCAAGGCAGCTGGAACCATATTCACCAAGGAAACAATTGGTAACACACTACGCCGTGAAGGACTGAAATCCTGCAGCGCCCGCAAGGTCCCCCTGCTCAAGAAAGCACATATACATGCCCGTCTGAAGTTTGCCAATGAACATCTGAATGATTCAGAGGACAACTGGGTGAAAGTGTTGTGGTCAGATGAGACCAAAATGGAGCTCTTTGGCATCAACTCAACTTGCCGTGTTTGGAGGAGGAGGAATGCTGCCTATGACCACAAGAACACCATCCCCACCGTCAAACATGGAGGTGGAAACATTATGCTTTGGGGGTGTTTTTCTGCTAAGGAGACAGGACAACTTCACCGCATCAAAGGGACGATGGACGGGGCCATGTACCGTCAAATCTTGGGTGAGAACCTCCTTCCCTCAGCCAGGGCATTGAAAATGGGTCGTAGATGGGTATTCCAGCATGGCAATGACCCAAAACACATGGCCAAGGCAACAAAGGAGTGGCTCAAGAAGAAGCACATTAAGGTCCTGGAGTGGCCTAGCCATTCTCCAGACCTTAATCCCATAAACAATCTGTAGAGGGCGCTGAAGGTTCGAGTTGCCAAACGTCAGCCTCGAAACCTTAATGACTTGGAGAAGATCTGCAAAGAGGAGTGGGACAAAATCCCTCCTGAGATGTGTGCAAACGTGGTGGCCAACTACAAGAAACGTCTGACCTCTGTGATTGCCAACAAGGGTTTTGCCACCAAGTACTAAGTCATGTTTTGCAGAGGGGTCAAATACTTATTTCCCTCATTAAAATGCAAATCAATTTATAACATTTTTGACATGCGTTTTTTCTGGATTTTTTTGTTATTCTGTCTCTCACTGTTCAAATAAACCTACCATTAAAATTATAGACTGATCAATTATTTGTCAGTGGGCAAATGTACAGAATCAGCAGGGGATCAAATACTTTTTTCCCTCACTGTACACTATACGTAGGAGTTACAGCTACGAAGGGTTGGGCCCTCACTCTGGTCCCCGACCACGTGTTTATGCCTCGTAGGACGTAGAGCTTCCAGCTTGTAGACGTGGAGCTTCAGTTTATCGAATGCAGTGACCCCGGTCCCTCTCAGGGACCCACCTTATATCCTCCCAGGTCGGGGCCGCTCCGCCCTCGGCCCCGCCCTCCTTCTCGAGCCTTCTAGCTCCCCGTCGATCCCTCTCGAGAGCTCTCCCTGGACACGTGATCACCCCCTAGCCCCCCACCTGGGGCCTTCTCTGTGGACACCCCAGATCACGTCTCTACGGGGTCAACCAGAGTGCCATGGCCCGGGGCAACCCTGCGCCTGGGCTGACACTCTCCCGCTCCCCCTTGTGGGAGCCCTCACTGCACGCTATGCGTGGTGCCCGCGCTATCCCAGCTCTCACCAAGCCCCGCTAGGGCTGGTACTAGACCCACCTATGGGGTGTACGCGATGACGGTGCATCGCACGCCGTGCTATGCTAAAGCCGGCATCACACAGCAACCCACCTGTTAAGGCTTTGGGGCTGATCTTTGTCTTTGTGTGCGGGCAGTTTCCTGGTGATCTCTCCGACCGACCAGCACGTGCGCAGCTGGCGCTGGCTAAGCCAGCACCTCCCCGCCGACGGCTCCGTGCAGCTGGAGGACGTCTCCGACAAGTACACGGGTAATCGCTACACCCGGGCGGCGGCGGCGGTAACGCACCGGTAATGGCCATAACGATACCCGTGACCTATCCACCGGACTTTCGCTAGTCCTCCCGCAAGCTAAGTAGCGGGGTCGAGGCTGGATAGTGCTTGGATGGCCGACCGTCATGCATAACAGGTGTGCTAGGCCGCGGGACTACGTGCTGGGCAGGTGAGGGATGGTACGGCAAAACCATTGCAGTCCTCTACTTCTTCACATCTACATCTTCCCTCTACATCTTCATTGACCAGCGTGGTGAAGTATGGTCAAACAACCCAGACGGCCTGTGCAGCAGTCATGTACGCGTACCCATTCATTGGACGGTTGCATGAATAATACACGGTGTTAAATGCAAAGCCGCCTCTGTGCTGTATGTTCACGTGTGTACATGTCTGCGTGCCTGTGCGGGCGTGCGCGTGTGTGTGTGCGGCTGGCGGTTACCATTGCAGCGTTGAACCTCATCGGGCCCCGGGCGCAAGACGTGCTGTCGGAACTCTCGTACACGCCCGTCACCCCCGAGCACTTCCCCTCCATGCTCTGCAAGGTTGGTCTCCCGCTCCTCACTGCTGCCTAGTAGCGGGCAGTGATAGGGGTGGCAGTGCAGTGGTAACGCTCGCGACTCGAAGCAACACCAACCCAGGTTCCATTCCTGACTCGGGTGCCTTTGTTGAGTTTGTACGTTCTCCCTTGCTCTGCAGAGTGTGATTGAGTGTATAGGTGTGTGAGTGAATCAGTGTGCAAGTGTGTATGATTATGTGAGTGAGCGTGCATTTAACTTCGTAGCCGGCGACCTAAGTTCGATTCCCGCTCACAGCCAACACCAGTGACGATTATTTGAACCAGTCCTGGGCCTCCCCTAGGTTAACTGAGCCTTAACTGAGTACCTGGTGCGATGTGTAAACATCGCCACTCGGGAGACAAAGGCGGCCGGGCATAGTGCTGACCACCCACCCCCTTGTGTGCCGTGCCGGCCTACATAGGTGCTCGCTAACAGCACTTGCCCCAACAAGTTTGTAAATGCTATACGGGGGATCTTTGTATGTATCTTTGGCTTTGTCTGTGCTGCAGGAGATGAGCATCGGCTACGCAAATGGGATTCGCATTATGAGCATGACCCACACGGGGGAGCCAGGCTTCATGCTCTACATCCCAACAGAGGTTCGACAACACACAAACACACACAAAGGTCCCCCGTATAGCCTTCAACAGACCGTTGGGGCAAGTGCTGTTGGCAGGCAGGTGGCCAGCACCGCACCCGGCCGCCTTTGTCTCCCCAGTACCGATGTTTTACACACTGCACCAGGTGCTCACAAGGCCGAGTCGACCTAAGGGGAGACCCAGGACCAGTTTCGGATATTCGTCACTGATGTTGGCCGTGAGCGGGATTCTTACATCGCTGGGTTTGTTGCGCAACGCGCTAACCGCTGTCGAAGTGTCATACCCTGGCTCTCCAGCTGAAGATGCCACACCAATCGTGGTGGACTAATCTCCGTGTGTCCCAACTGTATGGGATCGAGTGTTTCCCCCTGTCACACATGGGTGGACCGAGTGCAAACGACGTGGCTGCCGATGTTCACCACCCACCGCCTCTCTCCCCGCTCCTCCGGCACGACAGTACGCGCTGCACGTCTACAACGAGCTCATGAACGTGGGAAAGAAGTTCGGCATCCGCAACGCGGGGTACCTGGCGCTGCGCAGCCTCCGCATCGAGAAGCTCTTCGCGTTCTGGGGCCAGGATTTGGACCCGCGCACGACCCCGCTCGAGTGCGGCCGAGAGTTCCGCGTCAAGTTTGACAAGGCGAGACAGCGGGACTGCGCAGGCCCGCAAAGATTTACATTGTCTGGTGGTCCCGTGGGCACGGCCGTGTGTCTGGTGGTACCATGCGCATGAACCACCACGTCTCCACCCCGCCCGGGATCTGGCTGGGTCTATTTGAGATGCATCTGGTTGTGTTTGGGTCAGGCTGGGTCTGGTCTCGACTAGACAAGTCTGCATTGGCTGGGTGAAATCTTGTCAAGCCTGGTAGATGGTGTTCTGCTCTTGTCTCTAGGAGCCTGGCCTGATCTTCTCTGCTCTCACCTGCTCTGTTCACAGCTGGTCTCAGTTGCTGTGTGTGTTTATTGGGTTTTGGGTTTGTGGTAAGCCAGGCTGGGCCAGGATTGGGTAAGGACACCACTTTTCACCCAGGGCAACCGTGAGGGAGACACAGCCTTAAATATTTCTTGACTTGTCACTGTAACAATAACAACAACAAAATGATTATATACATTTAAAAATCTAAAGTTAAATATATATACAATTAATAAGAATTGAAATAACATGTCTTTCAACATCCCTTCTTATCGTTGTGGTTCTCGTGCTGCCTGTGCCGGTCTCGTGCTCGGCCGAAGCAGGGCGTGGAGTTTGTGGGGCAGGAGGCGCTGCTGCGACAGCGTGAGGCCGGCGTGCGACGCCGGCTCACCATGCTTCTCCTGGACAACCACGACCCCGAGGTTGACCCCTGGCCCTGGGGCGGGGAACCCATCATCTGCAACGGAGACTTCGCAGGTTCTGACGCACGCAGACTCACCTACTGACTCACCAACCCGTTCGCTCACGCACACACTCATCGACCCACCCACCAACCCGTTCGCTCACTCATTCGTCCACCCGCCCATCAACCCGTTCGCCCACTCGCTCATCCATCCACCCTCCAACCCGTTCGCGCACTCACTCATCCACCCATCAACCCATTTACTCACTCGCTCTGTCACCTATAACCACCCATTCCCCGTGTCCCCGTTGCCGCCACGGCAGGACTCACCACGAGCTGCGACTACAGTTTTGGGCTGGAGCGCCACGTGTGCCTGGGCTTCGTTTGCCTGGGCCAGCCCATCACGCCAGACCTGATCGCGCGCTCCGAGTATGAGGTACAGGTGGCCCAGCGGCGCTACCAAGCCCGCGCCAAGCTCTACCCTGTACCCATAATGCCAAGGAGCTAACGCGGCCGCCCCCTTCCTCCTGCTCGTTTGCGACGAGCGTGCGCGAGCCGGCACCCGCTGGCACCACCCGCCCCCTCAAGATTCGGGCGTCGTTACGGTCCCACCGCCACTCCTCATCGTCGCCACCGCTGACTCCCTCGGCAAGACCCTGCAGCCGCTGCTGCCGCTGCTGCACAGTCGACACGCGGCAACCTCACAAGATCTGCCCTAACGCTATCCCGCCATCGCCTCCAAGGTCTTCTCTTCCTTCCACTTGGTCATGAGACTTGTGGAAACCGCACTCCATTGGCCGTGTCGGTCCGTTACATGCCCCCCAACCTTTGTGTTTCCTTCTCTCTTTATTTTATTTGCTTCTTGTCCCTGATCGTTTTCAACATTTCCGTCCTCGTGGTGGTTTGTCACCTCAGAACGAAGAAAATGTCACCGCGGGCCTCTCGCGGTGGCAGATTTAACGCCGCACAGCCCGGGAGACGACGCCCAGAGGGGCTGCGTGAGTGGGGGCGGCTCGTGCATCCTCGTGCAGCACGAGATGGCGCCTCTGCCTGCCCTCTTAAAAGAGTTTCCAGTGCGCAGGCCCCGGTGAATTTGCTGAGATCCTCGGCTCACTACATCTCGAGAAGCTGTGTTCATTACAGGTAACTAAACACCTGGACTCGGTAATAATTAGTGCTGTGAGCCGAGCCGCGTGCTCCGATAGCGGCACTGTGAGGACGACGGTCGACGTGGCCCCGCCGTGCGTCCCCTCCTTGCTCGCCGCACTGAATCCGTCCTCGCTCCTCCGCTGGCGTCCACACACGGAGAACTGCGAGCGCTTCCCGCAAGTCTTTGCCACAGGCGACCGGGGCCTCGTGCCTTCGCAGCTGGGGAACGATCGCGCAGCTCGAGGCCACGGGACATCGTCGTCAGGTGGAGTTCCCTCGACGCAGACGCCGCGTTCCCGTGGTCCGTCCGTTTCACGCGGACGAACGTTTGGCTCCCCCGTGTGTAGGCGCGTGGGAATGCTGCCACGGCGTAGCGGTATGCCCCCCTGGACCTGCAACCAACCCGTTGGTCGCCGTGTGCCCATCACACAAATCGGGCATGTTTCTTAAATCCCCTTCCCCACGCCTCTGTCCGCCCAGCAGTATGAACTGGTGCGTGGCCATCGTCGAACCATCGCTTGCGGTTGGGTTAGAGTGAGGATTCTACCCAGCTTTATTGCTCCCACCCCCATCACGAGCTCTATCCTTACTATTTGGTTCTTTCGGTAAAGTCACGTAGGTAAAGAAAATACAAAATAAATTAAATCACGACGTTTCGGACCCAACACAAGCGTCCATCATCAGGTGGGACAAGCGTCCGTCATCAGGTGGGACAACCACAGCAAAAAACAGTTGCTGAAGTAGGAGAAAGATCTGCTAGTAACAGGGGGTTATATAGATGAGGGAGGGGGGGCAGAGCCAAGGAAAGAGAGGGTGGGGGGGGGAGCAAATATGACATTGAGGGCAAATAAGCTGAGGAGCAGGGAGCGGTAAATGAACCTGCGCTGCAAGACTGACATGCATGGCAAATTTCTGAATGATGGACTGGGTGTAAGAGACTGGAGATTGCGGATATGAAAGCAAACTATAAAGCAGTTAAGGTTTTACCAGGTTAATAACATCTTTCCAATGATTGCTCAATTTATATCCATCTTCTCGGTTGAAGTTATGTCTATGTTTATATATCTGGATGGCTTCATGAACAAACCTTTGATAGTATCCCGAAGGTTTGCAGAGTACCTTGGTCTGAGCACCTTGAAATAACCAAAGAGTATGGATCCTTGCAGTCACGAAAACGACAAATCTGGAATGACCTCAGTCCTCTCGTGGGCCTCTTTAGAAACTCTGTGGTGGAGGCCACTTCCACAGAGTGGCATGAGCAAGCAATTGAAGGGCTGCGCCATGCAGTGGCAGTGTTATCGGCACAGCACTTTTGCCTTGCTAGGTGCACCTTGAGGCCACATGAAGAGTTGCAGATTTGCTGGCAGGAAGTCACATAACAGACTTAGGTGCCATGGGTTCACTGACTGAAATGACTGTCACATGCACTACCTGTGGTCCCCATTGTACCAAATAGATTATTTTTATCTGCTGGGCGCTCTGCTCGTTGTTGGAGGGCAACTGATTCCAACGCCCAGTATCATCCTTCACGAGCCTCCTCTACAGAGGCCGATCTTGGTACCACTGCTACCAGTCATTGGCAAGTCCATTCAGCTCCATATTCTCCTGTACCACATCAGCACATCTCTTCTGTAGCCCGTGCCGTACCTGTTTAGCCCCATCTATCCGGCTAAACAGAAGCTGCTTGGGCAAGCAGTGGCTGGTCTTGCGGGCTACATGAACAAGCCAACGTAGCCTCGCCTGCCGGAGGAGCTCACTGATGGGAGTGTCCAGATCTTATATACAAACTGTATATACACGTATATTGGGGCTTCCCTCCTGTGATGTATAAGAGTGTGAAACCAACTGCACTGCAAGGGGTTATTGCATCTGGTCATTGGTGACCGGGCTAAGAAAAGTAAATAATGTTCCACTTGAGAACTTGTTTTTACGTGTGTAGACTGCTCGACACACACCATTTCGGATGCAAGAGGAATCAGGAGTATTTTAACGCTCCCAAAACAAACGATAAAACTTTAAACGATGGAATTTCACAGACGAGGCAAATGTGGCTGTGGGCACGTTGGGCGCAAAGGAATCGTCTCCTTAAATGCATTAGCGGTAATGTGGCGCATATTGATTTTACTTTCAAAGCACCGTGTAACTTAAATGGTTATACAGGCACGTGGTTATGTCATAAAGTGCTTTACTCACTAAACAGTGTGAGTTCAGATCGTGGTCGATCAGAAGTTGACTCAACTCTATCGTCACTCTGGGTTCGATTATAAATGGGTCCTACTGTTTGTGGGACATCAACAGCTGTTGTGTCTTGTGGAGGTCATAGAAATATGGAAATTCCACCATTGGCTCATCGCATTTGTGCATGGAGACGACTTTTTTTTTACTTAATCGGAAGACTGCATGTTTTAAAATCTCATTGTGGGTTGTATAGTTTCCAGGTTTGCCACACAGAAAATGTGGTCAAGTTCAAACTCCTCTTTTAAACATTTATAAAGAATGTTTTTTTTTCTTTCCACCATACAAACACTGGCCCTTAACCAAGCACTTGGCTAACATTCGCACATTACAGACTGGGGCTCCCTGCTCCAGTTTCTCCTCTCTTCACAGCCGGCGCCTGGGCTCCTCCCCCCCCCCCCCTCATGTCGAGAATGAATCCCGTGCACCATAAGCTAAGTAAGGTTGCCTTTTCTTGCCATGCATTTGGGTTCCGCCGGTCGCATTGCTTTCTCAACTGCTTGTCCAAGACATCTTCGAGAAAGCGATTTTGTGTCCTTTGCAAAGACTTTTTCCCAACATGCTTTACACAGAGGCACGTTCATATACATCTATCTGGCATATCATACATTTCAAAAGCGCTACTATATTTATTTTTATGGTTATATTTGTATTGTTAAACGTTATAGTATTGTTACATTTGTTTGTGTTGTTCTCCCAGTTGTGCAGAGTTCAGTGCTTTAATTCACAAGTGGGGAGAATTGTGGTCTGGTTCAGATTTTCATGAAATCCAATAAACTTGTCAAATGGAGGTTGCTCGTTCACATTCCATTCCGTGTTTGGGTCGGCCTATCATCCTTGTGCGATTGATAAAATGTCTACCGCTTTGTGGGAATTAAACAGCGATCGCCCCAGAGAGACACGGAACTGCTGCGACCGTGGGAACGTGAAAGCTCCACAATTGGCTTGGGGCCACCAACAAAGATGAGCGGCGGTCATTGCTCGTTTGAGCATCGAGACTTTTCGACTCGATTGTGCTTAAACCGAACAAGCTGATGCATCATCATCAATTGCCATGCTCGATGGAGGCCTCACAAATCTGCTGCAATTTCTCACGATCCTCCATTATATTGCAAGAGAACTCCTCTCATCCACGGCACCATTACCCACGACTCTTATCATCCACAGCCCTATTGCTTCCGATTTGCGATTTCCCCCTCCCCCCACCCATAATGAATAGCTAAGCAGCTTCCTAACAGTCACGGCTTTTCTCGTGGTTAAGAGGAATTTCATGCTGTGATCCTCTGCGAATTTTAGCCCTACGGATGAGAGGAAAGTGGCCGATAACTACTCCGGGGAAAAAAGGATGATCCGCAATATTGGGCCCCCATGCCACCGCGGATAAGAGGTCTGCTGTGGTCTCGTGTATCGAGCGTGCAATCTGAAAACCGTGGGTCGCGGGTCACCTGGGGATTGGCCGTACTTGCGGACAGATGAAGCTCCCCGTTATTGCGGTGGGAGCGCGCACGACATCACAAAACCTTGCAAAGTCCCACTCACGGCAGCGCCACCGACACAGCACTCCCCTCGGGGTGTGTCTGCGCTTCTTTGGTGTCTGTAAGCCGAATGCTGACATGTGCCGGGAAATTGTACATTAGCTCGGTCGTGGAGACGTTTGATTGACCGCTTGTCGGGAAGTTGTGTTAAGTGTCGCCGTGTGTGCGTGTGCCCGCACGGGTGTTTCATTGCGAGCAGAGGGCGATTGTGGATTACTCCCAATATTCATTCGCTAGGGAGTGCCCCAGTCCAACGGTGGCGGCTGGCCTGTGCGATGGGGCGTTTGGGTGGTGCCCCGGCATCACAATCAGCTTACCGATATCTATTTACAAATCAAAATGCTTTTTCAGTGGCTCATCACATCATTAGGGGGGTTTTATTTGCATTTTAAATCGATTGGTGACGTCACTCCGAATGTCCCCTCGTCTGCATGGTTATTCCTCCTCGTTGTGAGTTACCATGAAGACGTGCAGTGGGGTCCTGGTGTCAGTGGGCGCCTCTTGTTGCCTTCGGTCACCATCAAAATACATTTGAACAAATGTGACCAACTTAAAGCAGAAGCAATGAACGCAGTAAAATCCTTCCTCGCTGGAGTTGAAGCTTTAAAGCGTTTGGCCCGGATAGACTCCCCTCCCCCCCCTTGTGCGTGTTGACTGACGAGTTAGATTGGCATGGTTGGCTACGTACGGTGCGAAAGAAGTTCACCATACATGGGGCGTTCTGCGAGAAGCAAGAAGACAACCCGTGAGTTCTACCCAATTGACCATTGGGGTTTAATGAAGAACGAGACAAAGAGGGCACATACGGGTGTCATATCGGCAAGCATCGGGCTGACCTCGTGGGCAGCAAGGGGCAGTACCTTTATTATCCCCCCCACGTCGGATTAGCACGGTGAGACTACGTACGGTGCGAAAGAAGTTCAACATGCATCAGTTAGGACGCTAAAAAAAGCAATCGTTAGATGTTAAAATTAACATCCAATAAAGGGCGCTAAGAGGTAACCCTTTATAATTATTCAACGATTCGGAGTTGCTGCGAACGCGGGGACACAGAGGGCCGTGCGATGCGAGCCCAGCGGAGGCCCCCTCCATTGCCTATCCGGGCAGTCGAGGGGCAACAGCAACAACAACCGCAGCAACAGCAGCAGCGGCAGCGACCTGGCCGCTGGCCCGCGTGCTGGGGACCGGCCGTTACCGCGGCTCATCTCGGCCAGGCACAAACGACTCCGGTGAACGGAGCGTGAGGTTCATGAAACGGTCACCACCAAATTGACGGTGAGCAGCAGCAGCAGCAAGCTCGCCGCCTGGCGCCGTGCGTGGCGGCCCGAGGAAGCGGTAGCTTCTGACAACCGCGCGCCTCGCGGCGTGCAAACAACTTGGACAGTTGGACCCGGGGTCGTTTAATGAGTGTACGTTGAACTTATTTCGCACCGCACGACGTAGCCAGCCGTGCTCATTTAAGGGGCATGGGCAGAGTGACTCGGCCCACTGGCCATTGACTGCGACTCACTCCTGTGGTTGGTGTCTTGCATTAGACAGCTTTTTCAAGAGCCCCACCCATTGTACAGGGTGGTCCAGACTTGGGTCCCACAATTGACCCCTAACATGTTTGTCCTTTGCATATTAAGTTCTGTTTGAAATAAACCTTGCTTAAAAAAAGATTAGAGAATTAAATGGGGGTCACGAGACATCTGGCCCGCCCTGTACCTTACAACCCCTCGACCGTCTCTGCTGCCCGCTTTCATAAACCCGCACTGGCCAGTGTGGTGAAATATGGTGAAATGTGGTGAAATGTGAAAAGTGGTGAAATATGGTAAGATGTGGTGAAATGTGGTGAAATAACTCCCTGGCATAGCCCGCAACATGGCCCTACGTGTCCAGTGTGTGTATGCCAAGGAGCAAAGCGAGCACCAAAGCTATCTCGTACACCATTTGAAAAGCAACTGACGAAACGTACCTGCGTGTCGGCTATGCACATCCATCCATGGTCTCGCTTCTCTCACGACTGTGCCCCATCCCGTCCTCTACGCTCCTCGTCTCGACTTTCCGTCTCTGCGCCTCAATCACCACCCTGCTCAATCTCACGCTCGTTCCTGTTCACTTCTTGCTCTTGTTCAGTGAACCAACTCCCACTGCACATGAAACAATCGTCACCAACCTGTCTCCGTTCCTCCCTTAAAACAACCCCCATCCATTCTCCCCCAGCCCGTCATCCTACTACTGCCAGCCCCACAGATACGACCAGGCCAACCAACAACCCATATCGCTCCTCTCACCTCTATCACTACCCCTATCACGACTCCTATCGCTGTCCCCACCTCTATCACGACTCCCGCCCCCATCAAGACCTCTATCACGACCTCTATCACGACCTCTATCACGACCCCAACCCCTCCTTAACTACTCCGGCTGTCCCGTCACCGTAACGACACCGCCACTTTTAATAACCTCACTCTTTATCACTATCATCTTACCTACAATTGTACAATTGCTTGCTACAAAGTGCCTTGGATTAAGGCGCTCTATAAATCTATATAGAAGACCCGATGATGCAGGCAGTGAGAATGAAACGGGCACTTTGGACACATGTAGGGTGGACAACAAGAGGATCATTAAAAGTGTCGTTTGGAAAAATGGAAGCAACCAGAAAGAGAGGAAGACCTCGGTGTGAAGGGCATGACGACATCAAAGATTGATGCCATGAAGATGTGGCACGACTTGAGCATATTGGGCACAGGACAGAGGAAAGTGGAAACAAATTACGTAAAGTGCAGTGGACACCTACGGGCTATCTGCCCATGGACCGTGATGTTAATCTGTATAACATCTAAACCTGGGAAGTGAACTTAAAGTGCAGAGGTCACCGCTGGTTGAGCTGGAGCACTTTGACGAATATTGCCATTCTGATTTTTTTTTATCATCCCCTCACGTCCGTGTTTTGTGCTGGTTGTGCCATGTTGATGCACGGCACAGCCGTTCACATCTTTACCATGGAGTTGTTTGTTTGTGTTTTGTTGCTGTAGTAACCAGGTCCCTATCGAAGCTTGAGCAAATATTGCAATGGGTTTTTCCCATGCCAAAAAATAAACTTCAAACGAAGTGTAATTTTGCTTTTATCCTTCCTCACAATTGAATCCCATTGAGTCGATTTGAAACTCTTGCAAATGATTGCAACCTTCCGTTAATGGCCCACCAAGTGGATATCACAGAACTACCGCTGAGAATAATCCTTTATGTGACCTCTGGTTCACAAAGTAGAGCATTTTCACACCCACTCTGCCACGGAGTAATGTTTGTAGCTTGACAGTGAAACGGATGCTTTTAATCCTCAGGACTCAGGTCTGTGCAGTCAATTGTGACCAGCCCGAGACCATCAACTTGCAACACTTGAGCACCCGGTGTCATGACAAGTGGCTGTCTGGATGCATATCCACAATTTCAGCAGAATGTTTAGTTTTGCGCTCCATCATCGAAGCCACCTCAAGGTGTTCGTGAAGCCCCAACGCAAACCGGGGACGAGTTGCAGACCACAAAAAACGCTCGGCACAATTTGAATGCTCAGAATTTTTATTCTCACTACGAGGTTCCACTTGTTTATGCAAAGACAATGACAGCATCCAGATCTTATCCACAACCTCCACCACCCCCACCAAAGGATTACATCAACCGTGGAGAGAACCGAACTTTAAAAGGACCCTGCACACTTCACCAGTGAGAAAGAAACTACAGATTATAAATGACAGCTGGCGTGCGCAACTTCGTGTCGATGGGAGGACACTGTTTAGCTGCCCAGGGTCATCTTGTCGAAGAGGTACTCTCCCATGCCAGACTGCGGCACTCCCAGGCGCTTGAGGTTGGTGACGTGGTCCCCAAGCTTCTTGATGGACTCCACCTGCTCCTCCAGGAACTCGCTCTCCAGGAAGTCGCACAGCTGTGGACACAACATCAACAACATCAGCCACGGCTTCATTGGTCAGGGAGACGTTTCATAGGGTGTGGTGGTCGCTCAAAGTGACTGGCGACTTGTGGACGTCGTGGAGTGTGGCCGTGGGACCAAGCGGGAGGACAGCTTCGTAGCGAGAGAGCCGCGGGTTCTGAGAGTGACCACAGGGTGCTTGGGACCCGAGCCACCGAACGTACGAACCTGCGGGTCTTTCTTCTCGCTGGCCAGAGCGTGGAGATCCAGCAGGGCCTGGTTCACGGTCTTCTCCAGCTGCAGGGCGAGCTGCATGGCCTCCAGACCACTGCCCCACTCG